AGGGAAGCTTCCAAACCAGACTGTGATGCTGTATGACAGGATGCTCTCGATCGTCCCCCTGTAGAAAGTGGTCAGGACAGGGGAAGGAAGATATGCTTTTTAAAAGTTTATATATGTCGCTGAATTCCTAAGTGAACACATGTTTCTCCCTGAACAAAAGTTGAATACCACATCTTTCTGCAAATTTGGATGTCTGCTTACTATTTCTGTGCAGTTGTGTACAATTAAAAAAAACTATTCTTCTTTTCAGAACTCTCCTAGCTGAGAAATATTCTTCAAACTCCTTGCCTGCATTGCATATTTAGGGTCATATTTAGGGTCCCTCTTCAAATTTGCAGTGTTATTTAGGTTTAGGGACCACGAAGGCCATTCAAATACCTTCTTTAATGCCTGCTCAACCCTCTAGTTTTATAAAACAAAATGGGGGGGGGGATCTTTGGACTATTGCAGACATGTCAAACACAAGATCCAGGGGCCAGATGTGGCCCGCGAAGTGGTTTCATGTGGCCCGCAAAGCCATCCTGGAAACAGTGAGGGAACGGCCCCTGCTGCCTTGGCCCTGGCCCAGGCTGGCCGGGAGCCAATGTACAATTTTGTGGTGGCCATCTATGCTGAAATGCATTCAGTCTTAGCTCCACAAGGCTGTCTGGAAACAGCAAGGAACTAGCCCCTGCTGCGTCGGCCCCACCACCTGGATGCATGCTGAGGAGGTGTCACCCTTTGTGAAGAATGAAGAAATGCACGATCGCCTGGAAGTGGACAGCAAATCACCCTCGCCTACTTCACATATCAGGCTTGATGGGCTCTGGGGGAGGAGTTTCAGTAGGCAGCGGGGGGCTCTCCTCACAGCACCGAGAGGCTGAGCCAGGTGGTGCAAATCCAAAAAGAAACGCGAGGCCGCCCAGCTCCCAGCCTGACTGGTTTCTGCATGCAGCGGGGCGCTCTCCTCACAGCGCCAAGAGCTGAGCCGGGTGGCGCGAATCTGATGAGAAGCGCAATGCTGCCTAGCCCCCAGCCTGCCCAGTTTCAGCAGGCAGCAAGGTGCAAAGCTGGCGAGCTTCACACCGCCCGGCTCAACCTCTCGGCGCTCTGAGGAGAGCGCCCCGCTGCCTGCTGGAACCAGGCATGATGGGGGCTGGGCGGCATTGCGCAGGTAATGTTGACTCTCATGCTGCTCATGGCATCCCTTCCCCCAGAGCCCACCAAGCCAGATATGTGAAGTAGGTGAGGGCCATGTGCTGGCCACTTCCAGGTGATGGTGCATTTCTTCATTCCTCACGAAGGGTGACACCTCCCCAGCTGCATTTCTTGCCTGTTTTTCTCCCTCCCTCATCTCAAATATTTTCCCACCACTCTGTACTTAGGAAGGAAGGAAAGAAAGAAGGAAAGAAGGAGAGGGAGGGTCTGAGGGAACTTCTGCCTTAGTCCTGCCCTGCTGCCCTTTCACCATCCCCTTGCTCCCTCCTCCTGGCCTATCCTGGGGGTCTCCCATCCTATTGCTAAGGAAGCTTTGGATAAAAGCTGGGTCTCCTCCCATGGAGAGGGAATGGGCCTCCCTCTGACTTTGCCCTCGTACCCATCATGAGCAACCTGGCTAAGGAGAGCAAGCACAGCAGCAGCAGCCTTGAGGAAGAGATAAGTGTAGCTGGGTGCACCCTTGGGGAAGTGGGGCTGGACTTGGTGCCGCGGGTGTTCGAGGGCCAGGCTGGGCATTTGACCTCTGCTGCCCAGGGCTTCGGGCAACCCGCACCACCATCCAGCCCCGCCCCCACATGGCCTGAGAGGAACAGTGAGGCTCCTCCAGTGGACCATGCCTTGGCACTTGTCCTGGTCCCACCCCCTTTTGCCAGAGACCCTCAGATCTGTCCCACTCATGCCCAGACCCCCACATGCACCCTTGATGGGAACGATGTAGAACTGGCCATGCCCACCCAGTATACCACACCCACTCCATCCACGCCCACCTAGTGGGCTGTACCCACCCTGGCCACACCCACCCGGCCCCCCAAGGGCAACCACAATGCTGATGCGGCCCTCAATGAAATTGAGTTTGACACTCCTGGACTATTGTCTTGCTGAATTGTCTCTTTTCAGCTTCAATTGCTTTGCTGGCTTTTTGGGCCATTCCCTATAGGATATCTGAATATTTAGTTGAAACTATTCTTCCTTCCAGCCATACAATATTTCCTGGTCCTCAACCCTAACAGAGCCTCCCCTTAACTTGATGGCCAGCAAGGAGTTCTCTTTTCCTTGAAAGGTTCAGAAAGTTTCAGGCATGCTGAAGTTTTCCTTTGCTTATATGAGGCCAGGGAGGAAGGCTTTTCTTCTGCGTCAATGATACAATCCATACTCATTCTACTTTACAATAAGGCTACAGGTGGCAGGTTCAAAAGCACAAACCTCCCATTGTCACTTTTACCTGTTTGATCCAGAAGGGAATGTCCTTCCTAAGTTTCTTTCTCTGAATGTAAAGACAACGGGGTCTCTTGGGGTCTCTTGTCTGATTGTTTCCTAGGCAACATATTTTCCCTTAGACACAGAATAACAGACTTGGAAGGAACCTTGGAGGTCTTCTAGTCTAACCTTCTGCTCAAGCAGGAGACCCTAAACCAGTGATGGCGAAGCTTTTAGAGACCGAGTGCCCAAAAACTGTCCCACCTCCAGCCCACCCCCTCTCCATCCCCTGCCCCTCCTACTCCACCCCCACTCTGCCCCGCCCCACCCCCATCCGCCCACAGGGCCACCCACCGCCTCCACAACCCACCGAAGATTGTCCAGGCAGCTGTGCAATGCCATGGCTGCCACGCCCTCCGCCCATGCCCCGGAGCATCATCTGTGCGTGACAGGGCATGAGGGCAGAGTCTTGTCCCTACTGCCCGGCTGTCATGTCCTTGGTTGCACTGCTCCGTGCGGGCCGTGCCCAGGGGCGACTCTCCTCTGGGGGGCTGTTAGTGAGGAGGGGGCCATGGGTGGAGTTGGGGCTGGAGCACAGAGAGGGCTCCGAGTGCCACCTCTGGCATGCGTGCCATAGGTTCACCATCACTGTCCTATACCATTCGATACAACTGACTGCCCAGTCTCTTCTTAAAAGCCTCCAGTGATGGAGCACCCACAATTTCTAGTGGCAAGCTGTTCCATTGATTAATTGTTCTCCTTTGGTTTCTGCTTTCTCGATTAGTTTCCATCCATCACTTCTTGTCTTGCCTTCTTTTCCTGAGGTCATTGTCAGGTCCCCAAAACCCACATCATTTCCCCTGCATATATATATTCTACTTTTGGGGCCTGCCATTCTGTTGGGGTGGGGGAGGGGAGATATTTGCTTTCACTTGGGATAACTTTCACTTTCTACTTTCCCTCCTCTGCCTCTATCATCTTGAGAAAGGAATGTGTCTCCCTTATCAGGGAGATGGTGACAGAGAAACGAAAGCTGGAGAAGACCTTGAGATGCGCGCCGACTGTACCAGTTACCCGCTCATTTTGCCAGCTGTGGATTGTCAAGCCCCATGGGGCTTGCCATTCACTGGTGGGGGGGTGAACTGGAGCACGGGCCGCAGCAGCCAGATGCCACCTTGACGCCAGCCAGTCCCCTGAGCCGAGCCAGCCACCAGAACAGGCCAGCTGGACATCGGAAACAGCCCTCCCCCTTCTCCTCCGTTTCCTTGCTGGCTGCCTACCTTCTCCAGGCCAACCACGGAGCCTCGACAGTGGATGGGGGGGACTGGCCCGATGTCAGCCATCGCAGCTGAGCGTCGGGAGGCAGCTGGGCACCACCAGGCACTGCCGGCGGTGGGAGGAGACTACGGCCATCAGCGCAGTAGCTGAGCGTCGGGGGAAGCCGCCGCTCACCGCCAGGAACCGCCGGAGGCCTCCGGTGCATGAGAAGAGGCTGCTGATGGCCGGGCAGGACTGCGGAGGTCCAGAGGGAACAGCCAAGGGCATGACCGGCATGGAGCCGGTGGGAGGTTCTGGTCTGGGCGGCTGGACGGAGGGCCAGCAGGCCGTGGCTTGGCCAAGGGAAGGGCGTGAGTGGACCAGGGGGGGGGGGTTATGTCTTTTGGGCGGATGCTGGTTTGCTGCTGGGGGTGGGGCTTTGGGGCATGGCACAGTTATGTAAAGCACTGGGAGCAAACCACTCTCAGTGCTGACTTTTTGTTTGCTGAGGAATAAACCTTGCTAGCACCTCGTACCTGTGTTCCTTGACTGTGTTATTTTGGACGACAACGGACGGTGGTGACATGGATTGGCTGGATTTCCAATGGACATTATGACTTTGTTGGGAGGAGAAATATGGCTGGCTTAATTATACCACTTGCACGGGTTTTTCCCCAGATCTCGCCTTGACATCCCTACTGTTACTGATCTTTAATAAAAGTACCCTTTTGAGACAATGCCTGTTTCAAGAGTTCTGCTTTCTTGGGTGGTTAGTTGAAGTGGGTCCTTACATAGTTCTCTGCCTGGAACTCCTCCATGTACAAATCAGTTGTGACTTCTCTGGTAGGGCAGAAGCTTCTCCAGGTTGAATACTATGCAGATCTCGCCTTATGTAAGGACCACTTCAACTAACCTCCTCCTCCCACCAAAGGCATACTGTCCATTTGAAATCCAGCCAATCCACAGGTGGCACAATGCCAGGCTGGCTGATACAGTTGGCAGGCATTTCAAGGTCTTCTCCAACTTTTGTTTCTCTGTAACCGTCTCCCTGATAAGGGAGACACATTCATTTCTCAAGATGATAGAGGCAGAGGAGGGAAAGTAGAAAGCAAAAGTTAACCCAAGCAAAAGTATCTCCCCCTCCCCCCAGCAGAATGGCAGGCCCCCAAAATAGAATATATATGCAGGGGAAACGATGAGGATTTGGGGGACCTGACAATCATGCACACATTCCATTACAATTGCTGAGTTTGAGAAACACCATTATAGGACTTTATTTTTGCTTTGGAAGTTGAGAGTTGACATGACACCATTTCTCTTCATTTCACCCTTCCCATTTTGCATTACAGCCTCTCCAGCTGAGCATTTTTGGCTACTTCCTCATGCAGTTCTCCTTCTACTGCTCCTTGGTTATCACTCTTCCTTTTGATGTCAAACAGAAGGTGAGTGGTCTCTGGCAGAAGAGATGCAGTCAAGCTGGTCCGGAAGCCCCATTCAGATTGAAGAAGAGAACATGGTTCTTCCTTTGTTGCATCAGCAGCATTTATGTCTTTCACTCAATTTATGTGGCTGCCATCTCACCAATATGACTCAGGTGGTTAATTTTAAAACTGTGCAATCAATGAAATGAAGAGAAAAAGTAAAAGACAAAGACACTAATTCCATGCATCTTCAGATGCAATTCTTATGGTCATGACCTTTAACTAGGCGAAATGGTACATAACATGGCAACTATTTTTGAAGCAGGCAACCTCAAATGGGCTAACATACAGAATACATCTAAAATCCAGGAGTAATGACTCCTGAGGAAATGGGTTATGAGCCTTCAATGCTCTTGGCTACTGCTGTACTGCTGTGCTGCTATGAGATTATGTGACCTTTATTTTCAGTATTCTGTGACAATTTCCCAGCCAGTCACACAATCCCTTGCTCCCTTCCCCCATCCAGCAGAAGCCATTTACCTGCCTGCTGGGAAGGATAGGAAAGGGCAGGGTAGGGAAGGAAAAGAGGAAGGGAGGGAGGGAGAGAGGGAAAGGGAAGAAGGGAAGGAAGATATGAAAAGGAAGGGAGAGAGAGGGGAAGGGAGGGAAGGAGAGGAAGGAAGAAAGGATTTCCATTGCTCCCTGCCAGCTTCCCCAAGGTAAGAAATATCTCTGAAACAATGACTCAGCAGGGTACAGTTGTCTACTTTCACTTTAAATTCCTTCCCCATAATAATGGAGGCAGTTGGTCCCCATGCACCATCTGCAAAATCCATCAATACAATCCTCTCTTCTGTTGCAGGACTTTCATCAAGAAATTGTCCATCATGTAGTCACCATTTTACTCATTGGCTTCTCGTACTGTGCCAATTACATCCGTATCGGTTCACTTATCTTATTTCTAATTGATTCTACGCATTATCTCCTGGAGGTAAGTTAAGCTCAGAAATGCTCTTGCCCTACTCCAGGAAGGAAGAACAAGTTCTTCTCTTTCACCCCGCCTACCTAAAAAAAACCTTCTTCCATGTTCTATGGAAAAAGAAATTAATTCTAGAAAGGAATTTATACTGGCCTCTTGCCTGCAGCCTGCCAGAGGTGCTGGGACTGGCTAAAAGATGATCAGGGTAGTCGAAGATAAAACATGTAAAGAACGTTGCTGGAATTGGGTATGTCTAGTTTAATGAAGAGAAGGACTAGGGGTGACATGATATCAGTGTTCCAATATCTCAGGGGCTGCCCCAAAGAAGAGAGAGTCAAGCTATTCTCCAAAGCACCTGAAGGGAGGAAAAGAAGCAATGGATGGAAACTAAATCAAGGATAGAAGCAACCTGGAATTAAGGAGAAATTGAGGATAGTGAGGACAATTAATCAGTGGAACAACTTGCCTCCAGAAGTGTTGGGTGCTCGAACACTGGAAGTTTTGAAGAAGAGACTGGAACAACTATTTGTCTGAAATGGTATAGGGTTTCCTGCCTGAGCAGGGGGTTGGACTAGAAGACCTCCAAGGTCTCTTCCAACTCTGTTATTCTATTCTATTTTATTCCATTCTAAATTATGGGTGGTGGTGTCATAATCTGACAGGCTTGTTTTAAAGAAAGAGAAACATACAACAAAGCTGTTCAGATACAGCAGGGATATGTAAAGGATTTGGGGCTGAAATTGCTTCAGGTTTTAGATACCCGGTTTTGAGTTTAAAATTATAGTTTTGCATTTGTTCCGTATTAAGCACAGAATGTTTGGAAAAGGTTTAAGCTAAGCCTCAGTTGTGGGAGACTAAGATATTCTCACCAGGCTTTGCTTGCAAGCTAATCTTCCTCCAGGTTTCTCTTCAGCATTTCCATATTCTCCAAACTACAATTCCCAGCACCCCTCTGATAAAGGGAAGAGAGGTGCTGCAGTCTAAAGCCAGAGAACATAGAACATAGAATGATACACTTGGAAGGGATGTCAGAGGTCTTTTAATCCAACCCCCTGCTTGAGCAGGAGATCCTATACCATTTCAGACAAATGGCTGTCCAGTGTCTTCTTGAAAGCCTTCAGTGATGGAGCCCCCACAACTTCTGGAGGCAAGCTGTTCCACTGATTTATTGTTCTCACTGTCAGGAAATTTCTCCTTAATTCTAGGTTGCTTCTCTCCTTCATTAGTTCTTGTCCTGCCTTCAGGTGCTTTGGAGAATAGGTTGACCCTCTTTCTTCCTTGTGGCAGCCCCTTAAATATTGGAAGACTGCGAGCCGTTCACCATTCATTGTTTCTTGTCTTGCCTTTTGGTGCTTTGGAAAACAGTTGCCCCCCCCTTATCTTTGTAGGAGCCCCTCAAATATTGGAACAGTGCTATCATGTCACCAGGGCTACCATGTCAGTGCTATCATGTCAGAATATTGTCATTGTATCCTGAAAGTCAAGTGTTCACAAAATAGGAACCTTAGTCACTCAACAACCACTGCTTCTTTTTCTCTCTCTTTTTCTCAGATGGCAAAGATATTTAACTACCTGAAGTGGCAAAAAACCTGTGACACACTTTTTATCGTATTCTCAGCAATATTCCTGTTTGTTCATCTGGGGATTTTTCCTTTCAAGTATGTTTCAGGAATCATGCAAAAAGGATGGGGCTTTGACAACACAGTTGTGCCATCTTGATCTTTATGTCACCCACACAAACTTTGGGAAACCCCAGCTTGTCACTGCTCTATACAAGTGAGAGTTTCAAGCTGCATGTAGACCATCAAATGGCCAAAGGTGGGAGGTAACCTCCAGGCTACCTGTAAGAGTAAAAATGATAGTCCCAAAGATGCTTTTTCAGGAGGCAACTGGACTTTCTTGTTTTTCTTTGAAGACATTTCGCTTCTCATCCAAGAAGTTTCTTCAGCTCTGACTGGATGGTGGGGAATGGAAGGATTTATACTCCTTACAGACAGCTGGTCACTTGCCTTCTTTTAGAGAGTCATTGAGGCCAATTTGGAGGTTTATCTGTGCCCTCGGGGTCACCTGAGTAGTGCAAATGGGTGTGGAGCCTTCTTGGAACTGTTAAAATAACTGAGTTGTAGACTGAAGATAGATGATGTCATATCCCTCCCCCTCTGTTGTGAGAGGTCTGTTCAGTTTTGAGATAGGTGGCCTCTTTGATCCCTCTTTTAAACTAGCAGTCTTCTCTGTCCAAAATTTGGACTTTGCTATGTTTGAAAGAGTGGCTTTTGTCTTTCAAGTGCAGATGGACTACTGAATCTTGTTCTGATGGATTTGTTCTCCTATGTTGTGCCATGCATTGGTGAGGTGGTTATTTTGTTTCTCCAATGTACAGATCTGTACATGTCTCACTGCACTGTACTGCATATACCACGTTGCTCAGTTTGTGTCTGGGTGTTTTATCCTTGGGATATCCTTCCATTCCCTACCATCCAGTCAGAGCTGAAGAAGCTTCTTGGATGAGAAGCGAAAGGTCTTCAAAGAAAAACAAGAAAGTCCAATTGCCTCGTGAAAAAGCATCTTTGGGACAACGATGACCTGGATGACTGAGAATCTCCACAGACAAGTAAAAATGATACTATTTATAAATGTCGACCATCCCATTTGGCACATCCCCCCAAAAAAACTCCTGGAATGTACGCGCTACCAAGAGTAAAACTTTATTGAAAGATCCATTTTGTCAGCTATTCTAGAACTACATGCTGTTGATGAGGTTCTGCTCATCAATAAACAGGAACCTTCTTCCCTAAGCAGCCTCCATTTTATTTCCAGCATCTCAGCCTCCATTTTATTTCCAGTGTCTTACTCCTGGCTTGGAAATGGACCTGATTTTTCTTTCAACTGTGGTTTTGACAGAAATCAGCCCCAAAGACCAGAAACTGGCACAAAAACAACATTGTCAAAGCAGAAGCAGAAGCAAAGTCAGTTCTGAGGTAAAAAAAACAACCCCTTTTTACCCCTGGGCTACCCACAGTTCATTGTCCACCAATTATATTCAGTGCTTTTGTCTTGGGAACACAGTCCTGCACTGGCTGGTAGCTCTGAGAACTTGGCCTTCATGGATATCACCTCTTAATAATAATAATAATAATAATAATAATAATAATGATAAAGTTGGAAGGGACCTTGGAGATCATCTAGTCCAACCCCCTGCTCAGGCAGGAAACCCTATACCAGTGGTGGCGAACCTATGGCACGGGTGCCAGAGGCGGCACTCAGAGCCCTCTCTGTGGTCACAGGCACCGTCGCCCCAGTCCGAGGCCTTCAGCTGGGTTTTATAAAACCTTTTCACTTTAGGCCTCCGCCACCGTGTGCAAAAAAAAAAAAAGGTTCAATCAATCAATCAATTTCAACTTCTCGTGGGGAAAAAAAAGATCTTGCAAAGTTGGAGTTGATTGATTGAACTGTTTAGTCCCACCCAGTCTGCCATTACCACCTCAGCCACGCCCACCCAATGGGCCACGCCCACCCAATGGGCCACACCCACCCGGCACCCGACGATGCATAAGTGGGTTTTGGGTTGCAGTTTGGGCACTTGGTCTCTAAAAGGTTCGCCATCACTGCCCTAAACCATTTTGGACAAATGGCTGTCCAGTTTCTTCTTAAAAACTTCCAGTGTTGGTGCATTCACCACTTCTGGAGGCAGGTTGTTCCACTGGTTAATTGTTCTCACTGTCAGGAAGTTTCTCCTTAGTTCTAGGTTGCTTCTCTCTTTGGTTAGTTTCCACCCATTGCTTCTTGTCCTGCCTTCAGGTGCTTTGGAGAATAGCTTGACTCCCTCTTCTTTGTGGCAGCCCCTGAGATATTGGAACACTGCTATCATGTCCCCCCTTGTCCTTCTCTTTGTTAAACTAGACATACCCAATTCCAGCAACCGTTCCTTATATGTTTTAGCCTCCAGTCCCCTAATCATCTTTGTTGCTCTTCTCTGTACTCTTTCTAGAGTCTCAAGATCTTTTTTACATCGTGGTGACCAAAACTGGATGCCGTATTCCAAGTGTGGCCTTACCAAGGCCTTGTAAAGTGGTATTAATGCTTCACGTGGTCTTGATTCTATCCCTCTGTTAATTCAGCCTAGCCCTGTGTTGGCTTTTCTGGCAGCTGCAGCACACAGCTGGCTCATATTTAAATGATTGTCCACTAGGACTCTTCAGTGGCAGAAGGCTCTCATGCATTCCTTAGCCTCCCCCCGCCCTCCCGTTTCTGTTTGGCAAATTGTGAGCTGGAAGTTGATACAGGCAAAAAAAGCAAGTTAGCTTTGACAATGATTTTTTTTTTTTGCCAGTTTCTGCTCTTTGGGGCTGATTTCTGTCAAAACCACAGTTGAAAGAAAAATCAGGTCCAGTTCCAAGCCAGGAGTAAGACACTGGAAATAAAATGGAGGCTAAGATGCTGGAAATAAAATGGAGGCTGATTAGGGAAGAAGGTTCCTATTTATTGATGAGCAGAACCTCATCAACAGCATGTAGTTCTGGGACAGCTGACAAAATGGAGTTGAGAATAGATGGGTTTTTATACATTCTTTAGGGCAATGGTTCTCAACCTTTTTAATGCTGCGACCCCAACCAGTCATAAGTCGAGGACTAAACCGGTCGTAAGTCGAGGACTAAACCGGTCATAAGTCGAGGACTACCCAATCGGTCATAAGTCGAGGACTTTCCCTGCCCGGGAGCACCGCGCATGCATGGTTCTGCCCCTTGCGCCGGCCGAGGCATAGCTGGCAAGCAGCAGAGATGGAGCAGGCCGACCACTAGCTGGCCCAGCCCAAGGGAGGTAAGGCAACCGCCGGAAAAGGGAAAAAAAATAGCGGACAAAAAAAATGGCGGACAAAAAAAATGGCGGACAGCCTTGCTTGGCGACCCCTGTGAAATGGTCGATCGACCCCAAATGGGGTCCCGACCCACAGGTTGAGAACCACTGCTTTAGGGCTTTGTGTTTGAGATGCCTGTTGTAAAATGTATTTTGACCTGTGCTTGAGTGTGCCCTTTTGTTGTTCTAATTATTGATGCCTGACTTCCGTTGTGGCTTGGAGGTCATGTCTTGTCCTTGGAGCTGGGTGGGGAATGTAGATTTTAGGAGTCTTTGTTTTTCTAATTCCATAAGCTGCAGCCTTCTGTGCGAGCTGTGGCTGAAGGTGTTTTGCTTATGAATAGTGTCGCCCCAGTCTTTCTGAATGGATTACCAAATCTCCATTTCTAAAGATTGGCCTCCTCAGGTTTCTGCATGAGGCAGGGTGACTGGGACTGGTTTTTGCCTTCGTTAAGATTTTTCTCTATTTCTCCTTTAGGGGAAATATTCTATCCTGCCTTTTTAATATTCCCCAAAATATTTCATTCTCTGGGGGGGGGGTGCTGACTTCATACACCACCCATCGAAATAAAAGAATTTGCTTAATGACCACTATGAAAATAGTTGTAAAATTGCAATCTGGTCATCTAAGTGCCTCAACGTATGATTGTTGTGAGTTACGATAGAAACTCTGGCCTCCGTTATGGTTGTTCTGTCCTTGCTACACATTACCCTGTGTGCAACTTGACATGCAGTTAAACGCACCTATCCTTCAATAAACCATAGACCGTGTGCATAGATCTGGATGCTTTATTAAAGAAACAGAATGGTGAAACTGGGAAAAATAAAAATACATACAGTAAGAACCCAAATACAAAATAAACAGTGTTGAATTGCTAGTAAGCATAACAATTAACAAATACAGATAAATCTAGATCTCAAAAGTGATGCTGTATGTATGAGACATGGATTTTTGTTTTAGATGAACATGTATCATGGATTAGGCTGGATTCTTCGTGGTTCTTCTGTTTTCTCTGAATGTTAAAAAATGGAGTCTGGCTTTTTAGAATGAGGGAGGATAGGAGGATGGTTGCCCTCTAAGTTCAAACAGCATCAGAACAATTTCCAAACAATAAAAGATTTGTCCCCAGCTACTAGGTGGGACTCAACACATGCCAGAGAACAACAACAGTAAATACAAATTGCATGCTGGGGGCATGACGGTTGTAAAACAAGGTCTATCTGTATAGAAATTCTTAAATTAGGGCATTCAGTGCTTCAGTCGTCTATATGACCAGCAAAAAAAAGAGATCAAAATCTACTTTTACTTAGTGGCTGTGCAGATGTGCACAGTCCAGATGTGGGAATCCTGATTTAAAAAAAAATGTTAGAAGATTCTTAGAAGCCATTAGCCTAAGCAGGCCATGTGTTATTGTCTACGAAGATACTTCGACATCAATTTTGGCTGAAGCAGATCATTCATTTTCATTTTTGAAGCCCTAGTCAATATTCTGAATTCATAACTGGATTAATTATGCCAGCCTTTAAAAATATTGAGCGGATAACCCTTTCCTTCTTTCTTTTTGCTACCCTCCTTGCCCCTCCCCCAAGGATTCTCCACAACACATGTTTCTATGTCATGGAGCTCTACCAGCCTTATTACGGCTACTACTTCTTAAATGCTCTCCTGATGATCGTGCAGCTCCTTCATGTTTTTTGGTCTTATCTGATCATCCTCATGGTTTATCAGTTCCTGATCCATGGAACGGTAAGGGTAGAAATTGAGCATTCGGGGAGGTGTGAGCTGGAGGTACATGTTGGTGAGGAGGGTCAAAACCAGAATTTAGAATAGAATTAGAATAATTAGAATATTAGAATATTAGAATATTAGAATTAGAATTAGAATTAGAATTAGAAGATTTCAAACTCAAAACTGGGCATCTCAAACCTGAAGCAATTTGAGCCCCAAATCCTTTACATATCCCTACTTTCTCTGAATTACTTTGTTGTATGTTTCTATTTCTTTAAATCAAGTCTGTCAGATTAGGACAACACCACCCATAATTTAGAATGGAATAGAATAGAATAACATAGTTGGAAGGGACCTTGGAGGTCTCCCTGGTCAGGCAGGAAACCCCATACCATTTCAGACAAATGGTTGTCCAATCGCTTATTAAAAACTTCCAGTTTTGGAGCACCTTCTGGAGGCAGGTTGTTCCACTGGTTAATTGTTCTTGCTGTCAGGAAATTTCTCCTTAGTTCCAGGTTGCTTCTCTCCTTGGTTAGTTTCCATCCGTTACTTCTTGTCCTGCCTTCTGGTGCTTCTGAGAATAGGTTGACTCCCTCTTCTTTGGGGCAGCCCCTGAGAAGAGGGAGTTTGAATTCCTTTTATCCTGCTCCACTGTCAGTGAGAGATTTTGAGGGGTGGGATGCAGATCATAGGGTATCTAGGGATAGGCAAGGCTCCCAAGGACTAGGGGTAATGTGATAACAGTCTTCCAATATCTCAGAGGCTGCTGCAAAGAAGAGGGAGTCAAGCTATTCTCCAAAGCACCAGAAGGCAGGACAAGAAGCAATGGATGGAAACTAATCAAGGAGAGAAGCAACCCAGAACTAAGGAGAAATTTCCTGACAGTTAGAAGGATTAATTAATGGAATAACCTGCCTCCATAAGTTATAAATGCTCCAACACTGGAAGTTTTGAAGAAGAGACTGGACAACTATTGATCTGAAATGGTTTAGGGTTTCCTGCTTGAGCAGGGGGTTGGACTAGAAGACCTCCAAGGTCCCTTCCAACTCTGTTATTCTGTTATGCCTGAGGCACCCTGCACTCTGCTTAACAACCCATGCATTCATTTAAGGACCACATCAGGGAGAGCAGAGGCGGGGGTCGTTAACCAAGGGCATTTCATATAATGTCTATCATGGCTTATGACCGTAATTGGCTCCATTATGGTCATAGGTCAAAAACTACCTGCACTTTTAAGGTCCGAAGAACACCATATACACATAAGGGTGATCTTGGCGATGGGTGGTTGAAAGAACTGGAAACTTTGCAGAAATGTAAAATATGTTCATAAAGAAAAACCAAAATGAAGGATCCTCTTCCTCTTCCCTCTGCAACACCCAAGCAAGTGGATGTGAACTGTTAAGAAATACATGGGGAGTCACCGGAAAAATGGACCATGCTGCAGAATCAGAATTGCAGATCCTTTTTTACAAGTTGTTATGGAGGGCCATCCTCCTTTCATTTCATCATATACAGTAAAATAGGTCCCAAAGTATACAATCCAGAGACCAGCTGTGAACTAGTGGGATTCAAACGGTATCCCTCAAGCCCAGAGGCACAAGGAGAGGGGATGACTGTGCAATTTGGAAGGTCAATCAATCAGAATAGTGCTGGAAGGGACCTTAGAGGTCTTCTAGTCCAGCCCCCTGCTCAAGCAGAAGACCCTATATCATTTCAAACAAGTGGCTGTCAAGTCTCTTCTTAAAAACCTCCAGTGATGAAGCACCCACAGCTTCTGGTGGCAAGCTGTTCCACTGGTTAATTGTCCTCACTGTTAGGAAGTGTCTCCTTAATTCCAGGTTGTTTCTCTCCTTGGTTCATTTCCATCTATTGTTTCTTCAATCACAATAGAGCTGGAAGGGACCGTCAAGGTCTTGTAGTCTAATTCCCTGCCCATGCCAGAAACCCTATAATATTTTCAAACAAAAGATTGTCCAATCTCTCCAATATCTTAGCTTTGCAGTGGGTTAAAGCCCCCACCCATGACCCCTTAAAACTTATGAAACCCCTTCTTCAAAAAGTCATGGGTTTGCTTGCATGGCACATAAAACCTGGTGTGGCCCTTAGGTTATATAAAAGTTGTGCATCCCCAATGAAAAAGACTAGTTCTATGCCCCCCCCCCCAAGTTTTCTGCCTCTTTCCCCATCCTCCAACACATTCTAGCCATGCAGTATTAAAAGGAGACAACATATCTGTATCTCTCTTGCAGGTGGATAAGGATGTGCGGAGCGACTCGGAGGGCAGCGAAGAAGAGGATGAGTTGAGCCAGAAGTCAGAATAGAAAAATGGTACCATCAATGCCCAACTCAACTGCCACTTGCCCTGCATTATTAAGAGAGTGCTCATGCAGATGAACAGCGGGAATTTGCCATCAAGTGGTCACACCAAAGTCCCTCTACCCTTCTCTCTGTTTCCATATTAGTTACTCTTCTCTACTGGAATACTGCATCCAGATTGGTCACCGATGTCAATGCTGCTAACATTGGATGCTCTTGCTTCGACAACAGATGGAATTGCAGCCATTTTTCTCTTTTGCTTTTAGAGTTAGTTGATGCTGGAAGGGGAATGTGGATGAAAGTCCAGTTAGTCATAACAATAATAACTCACCCGTGGGAATCCAAGGTTATTACGCCTAGAGTTGATAAAGATTTGGTGGGCTGGAGAGCTGGGGAGGAAGCCCATGCTTCAATCTAATTGGGGAATGTGATTTATGACTGTTAATTGGAGGAGGGAATTGTGCTTAGCTACTTTGTGCTCAGGGTTGCGGAATTCAGTTTTTGAGTTTAACTATGTAGTGCCAATACTTTGTTTCTCGAATAAAAGGTTCTTTAAGGTAAACAATGCCTCAAAGGTCTTTTGAAGAGTTTCATCTGTTGGAACCATGACATTAAGCCCCAAACCATAAATTTTACCTAACAATCTTGGGGTCCCAGGGCCCAGTCGCTATCCCTAGAATTGAAGGATAGACCAACAAAGATTTGGGGAAGATTTCAACATGGAGAAAGAAAGAGCACCTGAAACCAGCACCCTGGTGGCAGCTGCTACCCCAGAGGGGGTAGCGCAAGCCAGCGTGCCAGCAGAGAAGGAAATTTTTCAGGCTTCTCAGTTGGGGGCAAAGCCCAAGCCACGAGGATAGCTGATCTGGTTGTTGGAATGGACCTTACCCAGTAGAGACTCCAGACACCTCGAGACGGCCTTGCCACAATCAAGTGCTTTGAAGGCGGACGAGGTTGAGCTGCAAAGAGGGGATTCCCACATGTCGCGTTCCCCAAACCAGTGTAAAACCACAAAATTGACTACTGCTGAGGACTCTGGTGAGTGGAAGTACCTGTCTGCAGCCCGTAGTCAATGAGTGGAGAAGTTGATGGAAAGATGAAAGAGCTAGAGATGAAAAGTGGAGAACAGCCTTCCCGTTCTCCATATGTGAGCGATCATGATGATTGGCAAGGCAGCCACTAACTCCTACCATGGGGAACCCCCCAGTCCCACCTGTGCGGATCAGGCAGCTTCCCTGTCCTTGAAGCCACCTACCATTGCCTCCAGCCCCGGGGGGAGAGACAGCACCAGTCATTGCCTCTCCAAAAGCCCATATCGCTGCCAGCGAGATAAGAGCAGTCAACAAGACAAACCCCAGATCAACGCGCTTACCGGCCATCCAGCCCGCGACCCATACAGCAATGGGGGATGTCACAGCCTCCACAGGTGGGAGGCCAGCAGTCGCTGGCAGTGCAGCAGCTGGTCTGGAGATGGCCACAGCCCCCATATTTGCAGCAGCAAATGGCCTTGCAACAACCAGTGGTGATGCAGCTGCCAGGAAGTCAGTAACTGCTGGGGGTACAGCAAAGTTGAAATGCAAAGGCACGTAGCTGCCAAAGTTTCATCATTGATAGGGAGGAACTATGCATGGTCAAGGGTCTGTTCTGCAATCCTTGGAGGCGGCCTGTAAGATTTGGGGGACATGTCTCCCCATCACTTGCCAAACAAAGCCTTGACAAAGACTGTAAAGCTACCCTTTTCCATCTGGAGGGCTTCAGAATTATTGGATCTCAGTTCCTAGATAGTCCTCTAGTTAAAAGAGATCTTTGAGACCACCCTCTGAATGTAAATTAAAACATCCAGCAAAGGAAAATCCACCAGCATTCTTTTCTAAATATGGCCTCACTAGTGCACTATAGAGTGCTACTGTCAAGGATGAAACTTTGGCAGCTACATGACTCTGGTTTTCAACTTGCCTTAGATTAAAGGTGGGAGGTGCTACTTTCAAGTGGGGTAGATGGAGAAATGAAACTTCTACGATTCCGCTGAAGACTGCGAGAGCCTGAAACCTTTTCAAGGACACCAGAACAGGTGTGGATTTGAAGCAGACGGTTCCCATAACAAAGTGGATTTGTTGATATGGACTATGTAAGACATTGGGGGTTTGGCTGGGAAAAGCATTATTTAAGTCTATGAATTAGGGTTGGAACCTCAGAGTTAGTTTTGCTTCAACAGTACCATGCAATGTATTCAATAAACAGTACAATTTTCAGAGACAGAATGAACCTGGAGTTTTATTTGGATTCTCGAGCTGGATGTTGACAGCTTCCATGTTTTCCCGAAAGTAAGACCTACCCTGAAAATAAGCCCTAGCTAGATTTTTGGGGGTGGGCCTAATATAAGCCCTATCCCAAAAATAAGCACTACTCCAAAAATAAGCTCTACCCCCAAAATATGCCCTAGTTTGGGGGCAAGGCGCATGCCTAAAAATCAAGCTAGGGCAGGGGGGGGGATGGAGCTGGCCCATGCATCCGCACCTGCTTACCATTGCAGCCTGCCTCTCCTCGCAAACCCACTTCTTCTGCTGCATCCCCTGGCCTGCATTTCGCGGTCAGAGGCCTTCTGGAAAGATTCAATCCATAGCTCAGTTCTCAGCTGCAGAGGCCTTCCGGAAAGGCCTCTGACTGTGAAATGCAGGCCATGGGATACCACAGAAGAAGTGGGCCGGCTGAGCAGGGCTGTCGGTGCCGGAGGTGAGTGGAAAAGACACCCCCCCAAAATAAGATCTGGTACCCCTTTTGGAGGCAAAAAAAATAAATAAGACCGGGTCATATTTTCTATGGTCTTGATGATATCTTTCTGTTTATGCAACCTAGGTCTGCATTGCCTGTTTTAGCAATTGGAACACAGTGGTGACTCATACTTAAGTGGTGATTAACTAGAACATTTAGATCCCTCTCACAGGAACAACTGTTGAGCCAGGTATTGCCTATTGTGAACCTCTGCATCTGGTTTTTCCTGTCTAACTGTAGGACATACTTTTCTGACCACTGAACTGCTTCTTAATGGATCAGGTCCAGTGCTCAAGTCAGGAAAGAGGGGAAGGGCTGAAGGATTAAACAGCTGCAATAGCCACAGGAAGATTTACAGGCAGTCCTTAGTTAGTGGCTGTCTCGTTTAGAGACTTACCATCAAAGTTATGATGGTAAGTAAATATCATAAATAAAAAAGAACACCAACTAGCAATCAGAAGACATAATGAAAACTTAATTTCACGAGACACCTACAGACTCAAAGTTTCAATTGAGAAACTGGCCATCCTAGACCAAGTCAAGTCCAAAAACGCCAGGGGATTCCTAGAAGCCTGGCACTCTGACAAATTAGCTGTCAATAGACACATAGACATAAACAATGTCTATATACCATTCAAAAGAGACAATCAACAAGCTAAACAGGGAACAGAAAGACCAAAACACCTCATCACCAGTAATCAATACCCAGATGAGCAGCCATTAACACCAAAATTAACATTAGACTAACAATCAAGAGGCAAACAGTACCCCAAACAAACTAACAGTAAACAGCCCAACCAAGGAACTATGAAGACAACTCCTATCAATGTTGACAGGGTAATCCATTAGAATATATAACGAGAACAAACCCATTCCTTCTAACACTGATGAGGTCACCTAGTTTGGCAAGGAAACGTGTGCCAGAAAACAAGCAACCTCAGAGAGCACCAAGCACTCCTGATTTTAACCTGGAGCTACAGTTTAATAAGAATTATTATTTTATTATTAAACATTATTTATTATTTTTTTTAATAAGAATAAGAATTAAAGTTAACCCATAACCTTTTAAAACACTAAGACCTTTTATCAGATGCATTGAGTCAAAGCTGGTTTTTCTACATAAAAGAACAACTTATCTCTGATTCTAAAGCCCAAATTAGGAATATTTAACTGTCAAAACTGCAAACAGAATATTTAAATCATAACGCCCTATTAAATTTAATGGAAGAATTAAAGCCTTTGATTTAATCTTCTACAGAAAACAATAGGAATTTATGAATGCTTAACACTAGCAACCTATATAATCCTGGACAAGCATAAATAGCCCATCTAGAGATATTTATATTCAATACTATACATTTCCAGGATAAATTGCATCAAACCAACTGAAATATATCTCTGAGAAGACTGATCTAACATTGGTGGTCCTTGAAATAAACAACAACAACAACAACAACAACAACAACAACAACAACAACAATAATAATAATAATAATAATAATAATAATAAGTTGGAAGGGACCTTGGAGGTCATCTACTCCAACCCCCTGCTCAGGCAGGAAACCCTATACCATTTCAGACAAATGGTTGTCCAATCTCTTCTTTAAAACTTCCAGTATTGGGGCATATACAGCTTCTAGAGGCAAGTTGTTCCACTGATTAATTGTTCTAACTGTCAGGAATTTTTTCCTTAGTTCTAGGTTGCTTCTCTCCTTGGTTAGTTTCCATCCATTGCGTCTTGTCCTGCCTTCAGGTGCTTTGGAGAATAGCTTGACTCCTTCTTCTTTGTGGCAGCCCCTGAGATATTGGAATACTGCTATTATGTCACCCCTAGTCCTTCTCTTGACATTAAACTAGACATACCCAATTCCAGCAGCTGTTCCTTATATGCTTTAGCCTCCAGTCCCCTAATCATCTTTGTTGCTCTTCTCTATACTCTTTCTAGAGTCTCAACATCTTTTTTACATCGTGGTGACCAAAACTGGATGCAGTATTCCAAGCGTGGCCTTACCAAGGCCTTGTAAAGTGGTATTAATACTTCACGTGATCTTGATTCTATCCCTCTGTTAATGCAGCCTAGCACTGTGTTGGCTTTTTTGGCAGCTGCAGCACACTGCTAGATCATTTTTAAGTGATTGTGCGCAAGGACTCTGAGATCCCTCTCACAGTTACTACTATTGAGCAAGGTACCTCTTATACTACACCTGTGCATTTGGTTTTTCTTGCCTAAATGTAGAATCTTACTATTTTCACCATTGAATTCCTCTATCAAAACTCCATCTTGTCTGCAGGGGCTCAGTTACATATAAGTCAAATATCCAACTTCACCTTCATTCTCAAGTCCATCTCTGTGGACAACAACAAAAGGCACAAA